CCCTTTATCTTAGACGGAAAATTCCATACATACAATTACAATATGACACATAAAATTTTCCCCAGCAAAAATTTTCCTTTATAAAATATGTATTCCACCTAAAATATTTAATACCATACTCTTTAGTTAGACAATAGATAGACATGGGTTAATAAAACCCATACACACATACAAACATCTATATGTTCTTATTTATTATACATAAAAATATTATTATACTTATGTATGTAAGTATATAAAATAAATGTTCTAATACATAAAAATGACTTTTATATTACCACAAACCAAAATCACCTTAACAGGTGAAATGACGTAAACCAACAAATAATTAATAAAATTGTTTCATATGGATTTTTTTTGTATATAACTATGCGGTTTTGAATATGGAATACATGAGAACTTCATATTAAGATTTTTACCATAATACAAATTGGATTTATTTGTAATAATTTAGGGAATTTATGAAAGATTTCAAGAATAAATTGCGAAAAAGAATGAAATGTGATAATCAAAATGAACAAGATCATAATTGCATATTGTTATATACGATTTGCTCTAATAATTAATTTTTCTCTCAGGTGCTTACATTACGAATTCCCAACCTAATAAATGCTTATCGTTAATTGAAATTTCGTGTTCATATTTTTCATATAAAGAAAAAACTTCAACGAAATTTCATTCATATTGTTTTGGAATAAGGGAATCCAAAAGTTCTGCAAAAATTTATGTGTATTTGTAATTCCAAGAGAAAAATTATTTATTCTTTGCTTATTAATTTATTTACATAAATTTTATACAAACGTACATTTATGTACCATGTCATGTTTTGTGTCAAAGTGACATCATTCTTTTGCTTAAACTTTTTCTTTTTAAAAATTTTCACACGGCACTTCTGCATTAAAAAATCTTGTGAAATTTCTTAAAAATTTTTATATTATGTGTGCTTTTTAAGATTATGTTAATATTGTCTCTGAACGTTATTATAATTGTACCTGAAATTAAAGGTAAAATGTGCAATTAATAATATGGACTATGATCCTGTTCAATAGTAATAAATTGATCTTCTTTTTTGGAGCATTGCAGGTTAATCGAGGTATACTGAGGTATCAATTCCCTATCCTTTTCTAATTATAAAGGCAATAACCTCTTGGAACTTTATAATAAATTCAACCATTCTCCTAAAGCTATTCTGCAAGACGTACAATATAACGAATGGAAGGTGGTAGCTACATCCATGTATAAATAGTACAAATAGTACAAATATGTAGAATGTCTGGCAACAAGAATTTTTAAAAACAAGGATTTTTGCGAAATTTGGTTCCAAATTTATTTTTGTTACATATTCTGGCAAAAATATTTGAAAATATTTTGGTTCCAGCTTTGGAAATTTTGTTGATTAGAAAATTATTAATACAGAGTTGTGAATCCTTTCGTAAATACCTTACTTAGATTTTTGCTTCTAAACCAAGTATACATTTAACAGCAAAACCCATTTACTTGATTAAAGATTTATTGCCGAAATTTCATCATTTATAAATATAACAAACACAAATTCTTCTATCTGTACTTTACGATTAAATGTTACAATAATAACAACTACTAAGTACCTAGTAAGAATTTGAACTCATTATCATATCTTATTGATCGCTAGATCTTACAAATCGCTTCTAATTAGCATAGTTCAATCCTAAGACACTTCATATATACCGTACGTATATGTTTTTAATTTAATTATAGAAATTCTTCTATTTAAAAATTCAATTAATACCGTCATCTCCCGTTTAACGAAAAAAAAAATTCTATCAGAAATTTTACCTAAAATGAAAAATTTAATTCTTTAAGAAACATAAAAGGGCAACATTATATATACGAACTATATAAATTCACTTAAATTTTTACGGAAAATGAATCGAAAGAAAATTAAAGAAGAAAATAAAACAAAAAGAAAGGCCAATAGGTCATGAAATTGAACATCATTTTCCAGTTCAATTCATTTTAAATCAAAGTACCTTGAAAAAAAAAGGTCGAAAATTCCTGTAATTTCCTATCTTTCGACATACATACTATGAATTAATAAGTCAAAAATAACTTTAATAATTTCAGTGGTAAATTCTTGAATTTTAGGAATTTTCGTTATTGTTTGAAATTCTTTTATAATATTTTATATTAAGTTTTCATTTAAGAAGTAGGAAAGAGGAAGTGCCTAGTAAAATTGTGCTTAAAATGAACTTAAAGAAAACTGAAATATCGATACGATTAATAGTGCCTAGTAAAATTGTGCTTAAAATGAACTTAAAGAAAACTGAAATATCGATACGATTAATAGATGATTAATAAAAATAGTAATTAAGTATAAGTTGTTAAATTTATTTTTATTTTCATGTGTTTTACATATCCTTTTATTAAATTTAATAATTTTATACAAACATAACCCAAAATAAACGAGAACTACACTAAAGAATTTAATTACAATCACAATCATTGATGCCTTACCGTGTATAATGCTAAGAAATAATTATATGAAATATAGACTTAAGTGTAGCGTATATTTTTGATCAGCGTCAATTCTAGTCGATTAATCATGTCTGATTGTCCGTCTGCTAACCTCACCAAATTTTCACAAATGATTTTTAATAGTAAATGCCAGAACACAATTTAAATTGGATGTGATGGAGACAGTGGTTAGGGTAGCTGTCCTGCAAATTTTTTATTTGTTAAAACTAGTTTCTTGTCCTATGGTTACCACCATGGCCATTTAATTTCGGAAGTCACTTGGTAGTATATTATGGAAACTACTAAAATTACAGTGCTAACATTTTGCATAAAAGAATAAAAAACCAGAAGAACGTATGCAACAGCAGTGTGGTAAGTAACACATAGCACATAAACTCATTCATAATACGATTAACTGTAACTATTCACATTTTTTATTTAAATCCTTGGAAAAAGTGTAAAAATTCTTTTTCAAAAATAACATTTAACGTTTGATTACAAACAAGTTTTAAGCACTACATTGCAAAGGTCTTATATTTGACCATTTCAGTCAGAATATCATATATTGGCAACTATTGTTTAGCCCGACCAGAAAAAAAAAACAATCGACAAGAAGCATAAATTACGTGATTTTCCCACCAACATAAAATCAAACAATCACCGTCATTAAATTTAAAAATAAGTTTGTCATATAGTTCACTCCTGTATATATCAACGCACTCAAACGATTATTTAATACAAAATTTGAAACCATAAAATGATAACACTCAAAATTGATTTTCAGTGTTCAGTGTAATCACATTACGCTCAGTGTTATCATTGGGAAAATACAATCCCATTATGTCAATACACGAAAAGCCAAATTTTTGAAGGTGCATCGGCACCTATATCCATTTTGTTGGTTTTCTATTTTAAAACAAATTGTGTATTACCAAACATCAAACTTGTCGAATTACGCAAAACTATTGCTTTAAAGAACGCCCGAATTATTTTAAATAAATTTCAAAAATCATCGCTCATAACCAAACCAAAACAAACTTAGACATTTTGACATTAAAACCTGCAGCAGGTACGCCCAAAATCAAACCTACAAAAACACAAAAAAATCATCCATTTTAAATAGAAATGAAAAATCTTCATTAATGATTAATAAAAAAGAAAATTTTAATTTTACTTTTAATTTAAAAACTCACATTAAGTTTGAAATTTTGATGAAATCATAAAAAAAGAAAAGGGAGGAAAAAAAACAAACTTTAATTGTTCTATAATTACCCTAATATACAAGAAAAGGTAAAAAAAAAACTATATAAAAAAGAAATAATTGTGGAAAATTTTCTTAATCCTTAATAGATTCCACTGTTTTGTTTTTTAACCAAAAAGTTATTTTCTCCTCAAAAACTATTTTAAAAATTATACAAAAAAAAAAAGAAGTACAATTATTTATAATATCTTAACTAAATTTTAAAAATTACAAAATATTCCATCCCTTTCTGACACAAATAAAAATTTCTTCTTCATTTTTAATTAGGAATTCAAAAATAATTGTTCTATCTTTAGAAAATAATAAGAAAATCATATAAAAAAAAAAAATAAAATTAAAACAAATCCTTGAATAAAGGTAAAATGTTAGTTAATTAAAAATGAAAATATTTTTATATTCCATTGAATAAAACTGGTTACTGTTATACAAACTATATATAATATTGTATACTTATACCACAATTATACAATAACAAATTACAAATTCATTCACATAAACAACAAAATCCTGCTTTGAGTATCCTTTTAAAATAAAGTAATTTTCCCATTTTTTTTTTATAATTTAATTTTTTTTCTTCTTCTTTTTTTGTATATCTTTTTTATATTTTTGTATGTTTAACAATGACATTCAGTAATTTAAGGATAACAGAAAAAAAAAACGAAAATGTAAACGCAAAAAAAAAATAAATAATAAAATAAAAAGTAATTAAAATGAAATAAAAAAAAAAACAACAAACTTTGGAAAATCCGATTAAAAAATATATTAAAAAAAAAAACAATAAAAAAAAACCTTTAATTAAAACATACAGACTGAAAAATTTTAACAAATTTTTCCTTTATTTTTATTATTCCAGTAAAAATATGGGAGAAGATTTACTTGATTTCGAAACCTGATGAAAAAATTCCATTCACCATTAAAATATAGATACAAAAATATTATTCAAAAAAAAAAAATAAAAAATTTCCCCTAGACCAAATATGTTCTCTTATAAACACAAATTAAATGATAAAAATTAAATTAAAAAATTATAAAAACCAAATCTTAACGTAATTATAATGAAGACTCCTGATAATTCACAATAAATAGCGTTAAATCAACCCTAAACTTTTAAAAGATTTCTATTATATTTTTCTATATAATGAGTAGAATTGGATTAGGGTATTGAATGGAGAATATTATATTTATACTTCATATATTCACAAATACATACACATGTAATCAATATAAAAATATTACTAATGCTTACCTTTTAACTTGTGGCAGGATTAATTGTGCTGTATGTTTACATGCTTCCACACATGATCTTCGTAATTTACGTATTTTCTCTCTTAATTCCGGACAGTCTTTCGATTGGCCAACATGTATTAGCATATCACGAAAAAGTGCAACTTGACTATTAATTTCAACAATAAGCTAAAAAACAAAAAAAAAATAAAATAAATTGTTATAAATATTAAAAAAAAAAATTTTATTCAATAACATTATTAAATTGAATTTTTTTTTATAATACCAAATGTTATGAGGAGTGATTTAGTAGGGAGTACAATATTATATATAATTGTTTATGGTATCAAAAATGGGTAAAATTTTTTTTTGGAAGTAGTTGTTAATAATATCAACGATTTCCGAGACACAAGTATTTTTAATGAATTTTAACAAAATTTGTACTTACCAAAGCTTTTTTAGTTATAACTTCTCTTCCGAAAAAGATCGAAGCTTCAAATGAACAGTTTCTGAAAGGGCTAGTAAAGAGTTTGCAAGCAACATTTTACTTGATTTTGTATTTTAACTACTTTCGGAATACCAAGCATTTAAATTTTACCAGTAAATTAAACTTTTCTCATATTTTAATATTTAAAGCTTGGGCAAATAGAAATTCGTTAAAATCCCGAAACAGTTAAAATTTGATTTTACCCATTTTTGATGTCATAAACAATTATATATAATATTATACTCTTTACTGAATCACCCTGTGAATATGAAGATGTAATATTATTTTACACTTTGCAACTTTATGTGTGAAAAGCTAGTATGTAAATTCAATTCCTAGAACTATAGTCATTCCAGAATATAAATCCAAAACACTTTTTTTTAGTTATACAAATTTAGACTTTTTGGTAAAAAAATTAGAGGTTGAACGTTAAAAAATATTAATAAATTAATTTAGTTTTATTTTTTCAACATTTTTTAACAATTTTTAGACTATTAACGTTATCAAACCCATATTGAAATATTTTTCTTAAAATCTTATATGAAACCTATGATTACATGGGGGCTTACATCTTCTTGCTTGTATTTTCTTTGCTAATAATATTTTGTAACTACATGGATTGCTAAATCATTAAAAGTTAAGAAAAGTCATTAATTTTAAGATTAAAATGTTCTTAAATATTGCAACGCAAAAGTTAAAAACCTCAACCATGCTCCTTATTTTTTTTAATCATATTCATTAAACATTAACGGTTAGCACATTTAGTAATAAAATTTGACATAAACTGTAATACAGATATTGAGGACGAATATTCTTTTCACTTATCCTACGAATTATAATATCTATGCTCATAAAAACTGCAAAAAGTACGTTTACCCCATACAATTCCAAATATTGAGATTTAGTTTCGGGCGCATTTTCGTACAGCTGGTATTCAGCGAATTGAGTAAATAAAGAACAGCACTGATTTCATTTTCCTTTTAACAAGTTAACTAAGCAATTAACTTACATGAGTAAAGTTTGAGAAAAATAAAAACTAACTTGAGTTTTCAAGTATTGTACATACTTACTTAATTTGAGCAAATCTTGAATTTCACAAAAAATAAAAAATTTATTTCCAGTCCCCTCCGTGTCTCAATTACAAAAACCTTTGTCATATTTCATAAAATTTCCTTCTTTTTCTTTTTTGATTTCATAATAATCTCATCAAAACTTTTGTTCTAAAATGTTAAAGCATTAGTCATATTTTTAAATACGTGAAGAATTCTTAAATACGCGCCTCTGTAATTTAATCAAAAAATTTCAAAATTTTTTATAATTTGAATATCAGGACTCTTTTTTGTAACAGAATCTTATTTACTGTCAACTTTTTTTTTTAATTTTCATATTTCAAGGACTACTCGCTCATACTTTTACATAAAAAACTTGTACATGCTTACTTATAATTCAATATTTAAGACGTGTTCTTTTATTTTGAAAAAAAAAAACAATTTTTGATTTTTAAGGAAATTCATAAAAAAATTTTTTTTTTTTTGTAAGTTAAAAACAAAACCAATTTAATATAATAAAGTTGACGTTTTTACTATAGCCGGATGCTTATGTTACTTATGTACTTTAATTTTAAAATTATTGCACCTACATAAAATATGGACATTAAATACCGTTTCGTACAAATAAGAAAGATTTTCAAATTTTACGTTTTAAGCATATTAATTAATAGAATTTATCAAGAATTGAACTTTAGAAAATGGGACCAAATATGTGGATAATTGCGTTGGAACTATAATAGATTGTCCTACGTTCTACTTGTTTGCGTGCACATGTGATTAATACAAAAACTATATTTATGAGCCTAAATGAAATAAACCACTATAATTATTACGTATAAGGATATTAAAAAATATCCTTAAATTTTATATTTTTACAATATTAAATGTTAAAGCAAAAAAAAAACGCACATGTGTATTAAATAAAGGGAATTGCGGTTTTTAAGGAAAAAAAAATTTTTTTTTCTTTTTTTCCGTGAAAAAAATTTTTCGTGGAAAAGAGAACGAAAACATACAAAAATGAAACTTTTCCTTTTATTAAAGAGTCAACAAAAATATTTTAAATTAAAATTTATGCCAAATTTATGCATAATTTATTCATATAAAAATAAAATAATTTTACGTTTTTCTTTCTTCGGTTTTTCCAATTTAAGGAGACCAACGCAAAGTCATGCACAAAATAATTTTTTCAATTGAAATTTTTATATTCATAAAATATATTTAAAAAGCTCGTCTTACATAATTTTTACTCTTACAACCTTTCATCAATGTCAATTTAAAATTGATTTTTCCTTATTTCAAATTCAAATTTTAAAGAATAAATTTTCTTAGCATAAAAAGTTTAAAATGTTTTTGTTATTGAAAATTTTTTGTTTGGCAAAATCAAAAGTTTATTAAATTTACTAAATTTCTTTCTATATCCTTAAATCTAGAGTGATACACGATCTATTGATTTTTACAATTTTTTCAAAACATATACTCGGAATTTAAGGCATAACAGACTCTACTTCTAAAAATATTTCCAAGCAAAAATTATAGAGCTCTCCGTGACCAGTATATTAATATTGCACTTCTGTAATACAAGGCCTTCTCATTCTTCTAAAGTGCGTTTATACGAGTATAAATTTGTTTTTGAAATTTTGTAAAATCTAACACGAAAGTATGAATGTAAGAATAGAATAATGTGCTTAGAACTGTAGTGTTCTTAAATTTCTTTGGAACTAGTTTTTTGAAAATAAAACCTTACAGGTACTGTTCTCAAGAAATTGGTGAAACTAAGGTGCCTGTTCAAAACCGACGAATTGCAAATATTTTGCAAAACAAAAATAGCAAATTGCGGGGCAATTTCCTATTGCATAATTGTAGGGGTGATGTACTTAAACATGAGAAACAAGTATAAATATGTGAAACAAACAAAAAACAAATAAGTGATTTATGATATAAATAAAAAAGTTTATTTTTCAAACTTAATTTTAATTTCTATGAATTGAATTTTAAATACGATGGTACAAATTAATTATTTTAAAATATTTTTTGTATGTCCGTAATTTTAAGAAGAACTTAAAATTTCTTAATTTTCTACTAACACATTCAAAAACTATTCAAATCCTTAAGAAAATCCCTCAAAACCAAAGCACAATTATATCCGGAAAATGTAACTATAATTTGATTAATGATTTTCATATGATAAATTGTTTTATGATCGGATAAATTATAATATCCTGGAACAATATACAAAATCCATAATAAATAAAAAATTTTCAACTTTAAGTCTTTAAAAATAGCAATATTCTTTTTATATTCGATATTTAAGATATTAAAATTATTATTATTTATAGTACAATTGATTTCCTAAATGTATAATAAATATTTTATTGAAAGGAAATCAAAAGGAAAAGACTTTAACAACAAGGAACGGAAAAAAAGCAGAAGAAAAACATTAAGATTTTCCTTTAGTTACGTAAAAAGGAAAAATGTAAAGGAAAAATCCTAAATATTAACGCACTATGGGCAATTTTTTTTTTTTTACCGACCTTTTCCTAAATATCCTTTCAAATTAATTTTTCTCTGTTTCCTTTTTAACAACTGATTTATAATATGTATACGTACATATATGCACATGTATGTAATGTAGGTATAATAAACGCATTATGTAACGAAACTCTTTAGGAAGCCTATGAAAATTGATCAGATATTTTTACATTATATACTCGAAAGATAAGGTACTTTAATAAAATTAAAAATATAAGATATGAGAGAAAGCAAATTATGAAGGTAAAAAGAGAATAAATAAAAAACGAAAGAAAAAAAAAAAGATATTTCAAAGTTTTAAAGGACTTCCTTAATTTTTTACAACTTTCTATTTATAACATAAATTTTTACAGAAAAAAAAAGGAAGAAAACATTTTAGGAAAACAAGAAATACTCTTCTTATATTACAAAAAATTATGATAAAAATTTTTATGAAAGATTTTCCGATATTTTTTTCATGTTTAAATAAAGCGAACTTCATGGATTCCATGCTCTACAAAGCTAATGAAATTTCATTCCATTTTCTGTTTCCATTTGGAAATTTAATTGTCTTGTAATTCAAAAACAAGAATTAAAAGGATGGAATATTTTTGGACTTTTACTTTGATTTATTAATTATCAAATAAAAACTTATTAGACTCGTATCAATGCTCATTTTATCTCATTTCAGGGCAAAACATCGAAATCATAAGCTCTGATAAATTACTTAAAAAGGGAGTATTCAGAGATTTCTTTTGTTGACATAAAAAAGAATCCAAGCACTGCAGTTGGAAACAGGTTTTCTTCTTAAAGCCCTTCATACTAACAAATCCTCAAATTAACCTTAAATAAACTATTCTTACCTACCCATAATGTTAGTTAAGGCGTCATTAATTCGAACGCAATATAAAAATTTTAATGGAACTGAGATACAAGAGTGAGAAACAAATAGCCGAAAACTACATGCGCATTTTTATTGAAATATTTGGTAAGATAGTTTGCAAAAACATTATGTTTTCTTTAAATCACTATACACACAGTATTCGCGAGTCGATGGAACTCTCGAAACAGGGTTATAGAACATATCTAGGACAACATTCTGTAACACTTTTCTCTTTTCTTCTCGAGTTATAAAGTGTCAAAGT